ACCGCTAACATAGCCCCTCGAGTTTCTCCCGCGATGATGGGGACCCTTCGTATGATTTTCTGGGACAATGGGCAGACATCCAAGAACGCAGACAACAACGATGATGATGATGATGATCCCGTAATCCTTGAGATGGCACAAGAACGTATCCATTACCTCGTGCAACGAACAAATGCTAAAACGTTGAGCAGGACTAACCAAGTTTTGCAAAGAACACAGGCTATGATTATGGGAGAACCTCTCGTACATATTTCAAGGATGGTCGATTTCTTGGAACCCCTCGAACCCTGTACGAAGGGATCTCCCCTCTTCTCGCCCGATACAATGACAAAAGGCACTACTGCGATATCACGGATCTCCCGAAGTCTCTGTTGACACCCGCAAAAGAAATTCGATTGTTACGATTGGGGGCAGAGATCAACTCTTTGGAACCCCCTGAGCGCCTCGAGAACGGACTCGGGATCAAGATTGCAACGAAACCTGTGCTGTGGCAAGACATCCGAGACGGGGTAACACCTGAAGAACACGTGGTCATCCGAAAACAAGATGCATAGATGATGGCCACGGTGTTCTCCTAGCGATCAGATAACTCATTCATCTCCACGCCCCCGCCATAAAATGTCAAGCGGGTAAATACAAAACACATCGATGTGAGGATATGGGACGAGTCATATGAGTTGCACATAACTCAATATCTACCTGATGAGATTCACCGCCTAATCACAGACATTCTAAAGGAGTATAAAGGAGCGATAAGTATGATGGACACAGACATTGGACTGTCGTTAGTCATACAGCACGAGATCCAGACGAGAAACCATTCCCCAATTCATTGTAAACCTTACAGATATTCCCTGGTAGAACGGAGAAAGGCTCTCGAGCGGATTAGAGAATTTGAAGCAAGCGGTTGGATCGAACCTGGCACCGGACCATGGTCGTTCTCGGTAGTATTAGTACCGAAAAAGAACGGATCGATTCACATATGCACTGATTATTGCAAACTGAATGACATCACGATCAAAGATGTGTATCCCCTCCCCCGGATTGATGATTTGCTTGACGAGATTGGATGTGCTAATTATTTCAGTAAGTTTGATATTCGACACGACTTCCATGACATTCTGGTTAAGGAGGAAGATCGACCGAAGACGACCTTCGTACTATTTGAAGGCACGTGGCAATGGGTTCGGTTCTTGATGGGGATTTGCAATGCGCCGACCACGTTTCAGCGGGCCATGAACGTCACGTTTCAGAACTTCATCAACAAGACACGGTTAACGCAGAGAATGATCAACTTATGCGTCATCGTGTACATGGACGACATCCTGGTCTATTCAGAGACCTATCAAGGCCATGCGCAGCATATCGAGTGGACGTTGGGTGCTCTAAGAGACACGGGATTCAAGATTGCGCTCGAAAAGAGCGAATTTTTCCTTTCAGAAATTTCGTTCTTGGGCTACGTCGTGACACGTGGAGGACTGAGGCGTGACTCAAGAAAGGTCGCGGCGGTGAAGGAAGCTCCTGTTCCCACGTCACTGACGCAGGTTCGAACCTTCTTGGGGTTAGCCTCGTACTATCGACATTTTATCAAAGGCTTTGCCACGATTGCATGACCCCTAACGAACCTGTTACGAAAGGACCAACCCCTTAGTTGGGACGCAGAGTGTGAACGGGCCTTCGCGACCCTCAAGGACGCTCTGGCAACGACACCTATTATGATCCGGTCGGACCTCGCGAAGCACTTCATTCTCATCATGGACTGGCAGCCGGAGGCTATTTCCGCTATTTTAGTGCAGAAGGGGAACGACGGTCGTGAACACGTCATCGAATATGCATCACGAACGGTGCAAGATGAGCGGAGAAATGACTCATCCCCGCAGGGCGAATGCTACGCAATGGTGTGGGGAATCCAACACTTTCATCCGTATCTGTACGGACAAAAGTTTCTCCTTGTCACCGATCACAAGCCCTTGCTAGCGCTGAAGCGACTCACTAACTACCCGGGCATGATTGGACGTTGGGCGGGTGCGCCTACGGGAATACGACTTCGACATCATCCATCGAAAGACGGAGAGGCACGACAACGAGGACGGGCTGACACGTCTGCATCGACCAGCTAAAGTGCCTAAGGCGGAAGAGATCATCCCGTGGAAGCAACCGGAATCGGCAAACGGACCCAAGTACGGACAAGTGGCAGTCCTTGCACATGGCAAGAAGCAGGCAGGTGACCATGGGTGACAGAGGTAACCCTACAACTCCCCTCTCTCCCCTCTCCTCCTCATCTCTCCTCTCCTTGCCTGATAAATTTTGTTATTTTTGTGAAGCAATTTCTCGAGTATATTTGGTCTCTATGCGCCCTAGCGGGGAGGGATATGTGGAATGGATAGATTGTCGACAGTGTGTCGCACGAGCCCATGGCTCGGGCATCCAATCCTGAAATGACAGTAAGCCTTGGTTGTGCCCCTTGTGTCGGGTTGATAAGATCTCGACCGAGGCTCACTTTTTAGATGCCACATCAGAGGGGTTAGAAAAAACCCGGAAGTTTAGAAGGGCAGGGGTATGGACGGATATCGCCTTGATTGCCACCCTAGTGGGTAACCCCCTCCAGAACTTCACCAAGGAAGATCGGAGGAGGGGCAATGAAAGGGCTCGGGACTACCGCTGGAATGAGGGACGGTTGGAAAAAACCGAAAACGGATGGTAGTGGGATTTGGATGGTAGTGGGATTTGGATGGTAGTGGGATTTGGATGGTAGTGTCGCACCCATTCATGAGGTATGACTGGGAGAAGACAGAGCATGAAGAAACGGCTGCCCATTTTGCCGTACGGATCACGGAGTCGGCAATCGACAAAAATGAATGGTATTGGTCCAATATTCGGGACGATGTGAAATTCATCGTCGTGAACTGTCAGGTCTGCGCTGCTGACAAGGCGAAGATTCAGCCACCAAGTCAATAGTACCGACGGTAGTTGAGCGGCCTTTTCAAAAGGTTAGCATGGATACCACCGATAGCTGTGAATATTCAATCCTACTTGTGTTCGTGGACCATTTTTCGGAATGGATCGAGCCGTATCCCTGTCGCACGCGACAGGCGGCCGAAATTGCGAGACACGTCAATCGGTTTTTATGGATGCACCAGGACACGGAGGAAATTCTGACCGATCATGGGGTAGAATTCAGGGGAGAAGTCTTGAGGAATCTGGTCGTATACGGCGTCGCTATTCGAAACACCGCACGGTGACCCATATGTCACAATCTAACGGGCTGGTATAAAATGCAAATCGGGTGATAAAGACTGCGCTACGGCGCAATATCGCGGCGTGGGACCCCAGGCCCTGGCCCGATATCATAGATCACATCCTGGCGGTCCATCGAGGGACGCCCCACAAATCGACGGGCCTGAGCCCTTTTCAATTAAGGACCAATAGCGTGGCCTGCTTTTGAATACCAAGCCTCCCGGACGAATCCTCGTTGAACCGACGGCCCACAAGGGCCATGGTTCGAGACAAGGACAAGCAACACATGAAATTGATGGAAAGGTCCCTGCCTCGATTGGCCCGAAAGCGCCAGAAAATGACCGAGCTGGCCCACGACCGACAGGTTCGGAGTTACGAGGCCCGGAACGGGAACGCGGGTCCGCGGCCCCACTATAAATTAGGGGATTTGGTGTAGGTGAGGAAATGTGATCGCCAGGGAAAGATAGCCCCACGATTCTTTGGGCGATTCCGAGTGATCAAACTTGGACCGAACGGAGTGAACACCGTGCGCCTCGTGCCGGAGGTCTCGCGAAGCCGATCGGCGCGACCGATTGTTCGCCACGTGTCTTCCCTACATCCCCTCCCTTCCTCCCCATCTCCTGCACCCTCTTCCTCTTCCTTGGCTACGAAAAAAGAAGACGACTCTCCATCGCTTTCTTCTCCCCTGCATCTCTCGCCTTTTCCCATACTCTGTCCCCGCCACCATCGCCATGAGTTTTCTTATGGAGGGAGCTCTCGACGATCATCTGCTAGCGCCACGAGGCTACATCTCAGCGATTCGGCAGGTTCATCATCCGCGGTTCAATCTGGATCTTCTACGACTCGCACAATTCTTCTGCACTTCGGGGGTATATGAAGCAGCCGAATTCCGATTCGTGGGCAGCCACCAGGCGGTTGTGCTGGCAGAGGCAGTAGCTGTCCATCAGCGGTCAGCTCCAGGGATCAGCCACGTGTCCACAGTTGTCGGCTTCAACGGCGATATCAGCATGATCAGTCCGCTGCGACATACAACTATCCGGACGTCACAAAGGGAGTGGGGACAACAATTTGGCAGCGGAGTGGAACCACTGGCTCACGCGCCACGGGGATAATCTTGTCCATACGGACGACATCGATCTTGGTGGGATTCGAGCGTCCCAGCACGAGCCGGTGGTGGTGCTTCCGAAACTTATCTCCTTTTGAGCGTCCCAATGAACCACTCCCAACTTTCCACCTTCGCCCTTCCATCTCTCTTTCCCACCTTTTGGCAGTCTGGTCTTCACCCCCGCTTCTCTTTCTGTCTAGAGCCGCTCGATGTCCCCCTCCTCAACCCAAGTCAGTGGAGGCTCTGGTGTGAACACTTCGTCGATCTTTCCATGTGCCTGGTCGGAGTGTGACTCACGTGGACGAGGGACGAGGAACACCGTGCTTGGGCCGAGTACCTGGAGCTACTGATCATCCAGGCCTGGCGGATGGACGTGGAGGGCGATCTTCTCAGATTCCTGTTCGGATCGGTGCGGCTCGGCCATCGCCTGCTGATCGTGCAGGAGCTCACAATTCCTCTCGCGCAGTTGGTTGACGATCTCCCCCTTGAGATCGTCTCGCAGAGCGACGAGAGCCTGGTCCCGCACGTCCTCACACGAACGCTAACGCCGTACCTTCAGTGGTCAGCGTGCCTAGAGGAGCCGGGAAGCGGCCGCAACCCGCCATCGCAGCGGGGATATCTCGACCCACAGGAAATAATCGACCTCGCTTTCTTCTAGGATCGAACGGCCTCTGAAGGCGAGGAGCTAGCGATCGAAGAAGAGGAAGAAGAAGAAGAAGGCGCTGACGACGAAGAAGAAGAAGAACCTGCTGACGAGGACGACGAGGAAGAGACATCGGAAGAGGGAAGTTATAGTGAACACAGCGAAGGAGAGCAGAGTGAGGAGGAAGAAGAAGAAGAGCAAGGCGAAGAAGAGGAAGAGCTAGAGCTGGAAGAATCTGAGTGGGAGATCTCGGCAAAGGAGGCGGAACAAACGAACGCTCAAGCAGAGGACCCCGAGGCGGCGCGCAAGAGAGAGGAGATCGCGCCCGGAAAGCGACGGCTGAAATTCGTCAGCAGAGCCAATCTGCAGATCGTCGACGATCCGGCACGAGATCCGGAGCCGCCCAAGCCTGAAGATTGAGACCCAACTGCCGAGACTTCGAGCGCACCAGCAAGGCGGCGACGAAGCCAATCAGCCTCCCCCTCCACCTCTGACCGTCCATCAGTTCGAGACCGTACTGATGTGGGCCATCAGGCTTCGTCCCCGGTCGTTATCCCGCCGTCCCCTTAACCGTCTCACCCTCTGCCAAATTACCACCCGTATCACCTTCCCTCGTAACCCATTCCCCATCGATACCTTCCGATTCTTCTACGCTACTCGCCTCGTTGTTACTGTTCACCCCCATCTCTCGACCAGGTGCGCCCTCCCCGACTTTTGCCTTCACGCCCTTCTCCTTAGTGCCGCGTGGCGAGGCCACAATATCGTCGAAGTTTATTGCATGATTACGGGGACTATTCCTGCATGTGAGAACTACGACCATTTCCGCGCGACACTCTTTCGAACCTTCACCACTCTGTATCCCGATTACCTCGCCTCCCTCCCCCACAGTGGTAATCGCTTCCCCCGTTTCCACCGGATCGTCCAATATCAGGAGCTTCCGGAAACGGTGGCGAGGATGGAAAGTTTCTTACCCCCGCTCCCGATTAACCCTCCCCCTCGCCATGCCCCCATGTATTGTCTCCTTTTCCCCCTCCCCGCTGGACATTGATGATTGGTTGCTTGGTGTGCGTGCCACGGCAATGGCACAAATAATCCCCTCATTGGATTGACGAGAGCCCTCCTAAGGAATTTGTAGGACAGAGCCTGTATGCCACGATGGATGACGTCCACACTCCTTCACACGGTAAGTGGCAACGTAGAAAGCTTCGCGTGTCGATCGATTAGAGAGATCGACACGTGTCAAGATTCAAGCAAGCAGGAGCTTGCTTAAGATTGGAACCCCCCTGGGCGTCACATATGTGATGAACCGATTTCTGTTCCGCGCGACTTTCCGCGCGGTAGCAACGAGGGGTCCTAAGTGGGGAAGGATGGGCCAATTACGGGAGATCGGGATTGAAGGGAAATTGCATCAGTGTCCTCGCTTCTTCGACTTTTTGCGTCGTCTCTTCTCGGATGGTAGGGTTCAGGGTCGGGCAAGTCCCGAGGACGATTGATGGGTGATGCGCCACCACGAGCACGCGAATAAATTCTGGTTGTCGTCATTCCTTTTCGTTTCCTGTTGTTGGATTTTAGGCGAGGAGACCACACGGGAGTTCTGCTTCGTTCTTTTTTAATTTTATTTTTGAATCTTGTAGAGTCCCGATGACTCTCGAAATTTCAAACTTCCTTTTCGAAAATTGTGCTTTTCGTTTTTCTGCGTTAAATAGGAATTTAGGAATTTTGCAATTAGGATTTTCTTTTGCTGCGCAGCGCTTTTTGCTTACGCGCTTCTTTGTGCGGCTGCAACTGAACTCTAATTAGTCGGCGCCCTTAATCGTGTGTGTAACTGTAATTTTGGGCGGGCGCCATTGTAACTGTATCTTTCTTCTTGAACTTCGTCTTTCCCGCTCTCTCTTTCTCTTGCTGTGTCTAGCCAGCCCACAGACTGCATGCTCGGATCGATGAGTGGAGAGAGGCTACGTCCCCCACGCCGCGATCTGGCCATGCAGAACGCAGGCGCTCTCTCTCCTAATCTCCTCTCTAAGTCCTTGCAATTACGTGTTCCTCGCGCATGCATGCACATTATAAATTTCGGCTGCGCGATTAGATAGCTTTCTTAACCAGCTGTTGGAAGCTCGGGGTAGCGCGATCAGTGAGTGTCGGCTCACGAGCGAGGTAAGAGGTGAGTTGAAGTGGGAGTCGGGCGACCCGACGAGCTGGTGCCGAACGTGCGGGGTTGACGTGGGCCACGACAGACTGTGAACGCGGGCGAACCTGACGGGTACGTGAGGACTAAGCGGGGTGATAACTTCGTGGGTTGGATCGCGACAAAGGACTGCCCGCATCGGAGAGAGAGAGAGGAAGAGGGAGCTAAGGTTGATGGACGTGGATTTGCAGTTTCCACACTCGTTTTTGCGATTGATCTCGATTTCATTTGTTGCGTGTTTTAATGAATGGATGAATGAAGGCCATATCTGTTGCGCGTCGTTTTGCCTGATCCTTGCCTTTGCTTGTCATTTTGATACACTCATGAGCATAGTAGGAATTTTTGCGAGGTCATCAATACTGCTTCCATTGCTGTTTTGAGCTACTGCTGTTGTTGTACCTTGCATGCTTAGGAACGATTGCGTACGGGATCCCGGAGTGATTAGACGACTGGGTAGTTATTTGTCGATAAATAAGCAAATACCTCGCGGGAATGCATGTAAGCGCGATCTGATGTGCACAACCTACACATATCCACGCGCGCTGATTCGCAACCACCGACGGACTTGATACCTTTGATATCGGGTAGGCGGGGAAAATTATTTCCCCACGCACCTAAACGGAATGGAGTTCCAATATCACATCGGAAAATCCCCCTTGCCGGTTAGACGGGTGCGGAAGATTCCCATCACACCACGATGACAAGATGACGTACTCAAGGGACTCAGATTTGTCGTGGGATCCGGAGTATTTCGACCCTTGGGAGAGAGAGTGTCTCAGACAGAGACGCCTGGAATCCCCCTGCCTAACCGAGAATCGGTTGTGCCCCAGGGAGTTTCACTGTGCCACCACCAGTGATCCGAGGTGCCCCAATTTTCCCACTTTGGACAACACCCATTACTTTATCCCCCGGCTTCGTTGTTATCGCTACCAACTTCCCTCCCTTCCGTCTCCTCCTCCCGTGTCACCAACTCACGGTGGTACCGTGGAATTCCATCGCTCCGTACTAGCCCCACACGCCTTGCGGAAATTGTCGGTGACGCGGTAACCGACGAGACCCCGAAACGAGAGGGCCTGATCAAAACGCGCGACGACAGACGCCATGTGCCTGCACCCAAAGGACCGGCTCATCGGAATCGCAACCATCCCGGACGGGCCGCTCCTCGAACCACCGCCACCAAAACAGGCGGATCGGACGGCCTTGAAAGTACCGCGCATGTCATCTGCCCTATGCTGCACGATATAGAACGCCAACAGACCGGAAGTAACTCGCCCTAAGCCCTATTGCATCTATGCCCCTGAAACCGTGCCACAAGAGATCTCTGTTCTGACCTGGGACTCCACCCCCACTTTCCCAAAAATCATTGGCACACCCCTTTTCCCACTTTCAGGCCAACATCCCACTCCGATCAGGAACTCGCGCTGGGCTTGAGGTTAGGGCGTCACAGGCGGCATGACGAGAGGCTTAGATGGGGACCACACAAGTCGGCGGTGGTCGTCCGCGAAGATGGTCATACGGACTCTCGGCCCGAACGAATGACCACTCAGCGAGGACCGACCAAGAGAGAGAGAGAGAGAGAGAGAGAGAGAGAGAGAGAGAGAGAGAGAGAGAGAGA